GCAGACGTCGTACATAGAAGTACGTTGTACGTATCAGACGTCGTACATATAAGTACGTTGTACGTATCAGACGTCGTACATAGAAGTACGTTGTACGTATCAGACGTCGTACATAGAAGTACGTTGTACGAGGAAGCAGCAGGATGGGGGGCAGTAATGTGCTATAGCCGAACAGACGCTGTCATCACCAACAGCAGCCTCTACCAACAGAGGGCGTCTGTTGGCCGCTGGAGCCGCTAAAGCATCGACAACACAAGCTTTGATACAGCGAAGCAGCATCGGCGTCACGCACGCATCGCGGCCGCCATACTTACGAGTGATGGCGGAAGCTGTTCTGAGATATTTTCAGCACATATACTCATACTCGAGATCTTTAAAAGCAGGAGCGGAAGCGTGGATTGAAAGGTATATAATTAAACCACTATCTCATATTATTTTTAAATTTTTTTGCCCAATCATGGGGATTGAAATCATGAAAAGTGGGGATTTTTTGACACGAATGTGACAGCAGGAAATGTCATGCGGTGTGACCAGAACGCTTATGTCTTCACACCAGCATTCCAAAATGATAAGTTGAAGAGAAATCTGTATAGTGCAGCAATAAAATGACGATGAGTAGCAATAAAATAAAACAAAGAAGCAGACACCGCAGTCATAAAATTTCCAACGACCCAACGTTTGAAGTATGGTATTGGCCGGAAATAAATGCCTATTTTCAGTGTACATCTGAACACATAAAGACTACGAAACTGAAGATATTTCACAGCTTTACACTTTAAATCGGTGAGTGAAATAAAAATATTAGGAGAGTTAATTTAGGACAGTAGAGTAAAAAAATTAATCAGCAAAAACTTCACTCCAATTGTGTATACTAAAAACAATATATATACACAACATTTATCCATGGGAAGAAACACAGACGTACAAGGGTGAAGATGTGAGAGGTACGCGCGAGAAAATTTTACGGAAAGAGCAAAAATGTGATAGACGTATAGTGTGAAAATAAACTGATGCAAGAAGCAAGCGGTAAAACAAAAGTAAAATGCAAGGAGAAAACTTGCCTTGTGAAGTAAAAAATAAATCTTACAAGCACGGTTAACAAGTGATCTTTGCGCACGACTCAATGGAAAATTGAGAAAAAAACTGTATTGCTCAAGAAATATTGCGAAAAATCATGAATAGCGTAAACGTACACGCCGGCGCCGACCAGCTGCTGCTTCGTTGAGGACAGAGCGTCGTTGTTGCCCCTCTTTTGAGCAGCCCTTTGAGGGCATCTCCTACCTTACAGTCATTTCCTCGACCTTATGAGATCCTTAAAACGATCCAACCCTGTAAACCTGATACTCAAGCTTGCAAAGCAAGGGCTTAAGAGCTGCTTTGTCGGTTAATATGCAGGCTAATTCTTTTTAAATTATACGGATATGCAACTTAGCAAATTAAAATTGAGATCGATATTCAGGGCGAACTCGCATTAGTTGAAAATTATTTTGAAGGACGTGCAAAAATGTTATGATACTGGGAGCCGCTTCTACTGATAAATAACTAAAATTTTGAATTACTTGGAATGATACTAATTACTAACAAGTAATATACCTACAAGAATGTAGAATATGCTTACTAGTTCCAAAAATCATTTCCACCAATATCTTTCTGAACCATACAAGTATTGAATTATCCCATCTACATGTCATTTATGTAACTTAATTTGTCTTAAATAACTCGTTACCATCAAAACATGAAATTCAAACCTGGTCGGAAACTCCAAACATTAGAAGGAACTAACATTAAATTTAGCATAAAAGTTATGATAGAGCACAAAGTTTAAATCATTAAACTTGAATTGCGTGACGGCACGCAAACTTGTCTGTCACTACCATCATAAGAGCTATCATCACCATGACAATTATGTTGCATTAAAGGGAGTGCCCGGCGCAATTGTACGCAATCTTGCAATACAAAAGACCAATTTGCTTCATCTGTAGCTGCCCAAAAGAGTCTATCTTGACTTGAACCACAAGACAGATGCTATAAGATGGAGTGATTTTCTTGTTCAAACATGATGGTTAATTTATCTCTTGCTGAGTCTTGAGTCACGACTTTACTCTCCGTCGCAAGTGATGCCCATAAAAACTTGGGCAGCACAAAAAGCTTCATTCCGGTTCGCTCGCCATCATCTTGAAATGTTGTGCTTCCTCTGAATACACGTGTCAATAAAATAATGCTTTAAGTGAACAGACAGTGAATATAATGCTTCTAAGTGAACAGTTTTGCATCTAAGTGAACAGACATTAAATTTAGATTGCATTCATTGAAAAATTTCACACGCTGAACGTATAGGACTGGTTATTTATTGAAGTAATGTCCCATTTTATTCTATTTATCTTAAGGGCATGCATTTCATGAAATACGACAAAACCCCTGCATTGCAACATCAAGATGAGGCAATTTTACTCTTGCACTTCAACCTCATCCATGAACCACAATCTAATTCCTGAACCAGAACCCCCATTTTTGTACAGTGACCAGCTAGGTTCATATTCTGTAACCCCATTATTAAATTACAAACCCATCACTAAGCTACGCTAGTAACACTGAACTGTAACAGCAAAACTGAACAACAATACCAACACTGAACTGCAACACCGACACTGCACTCGAACACTATTCTTGAACTGTAACCCCATCACTGCACTGCAACACTGTCAGTCTCTGAATTGCAACACTAACACAGAAGTGCAACCCCAACACAGAAGTGCAACCCCAACACAGGAGAGCAACCCCAACACAGAAGTGCAACCCCAACACAGAAGAGCAACCCCAACACAGAAGTGCAACCCCAACACAGAAGTCAACACAGAAGTGCAACCCCACCATTGAACTGCAACACCATCCCAGAACTGCAACCCCAATATTAACCTACAACCTCAACACTGACCTGCAATCAAAACCTTGATCTGCAACCCCCATCCCTGAACTGCAACTCCGTCACTCTCTGAATTGCAACCCTAACATTGTTAGAATTTTGACAGAGACAAGAAGATTTGAACCACGACTAGCCGCCTGCATATCATACGCGGCCTTCGTCATCATACCGCGACTCGTGTTCTTCACTCCTCTCAGGGGATTATAAAGCCGCATCCACACACACGTACGCCACTCCAAATGCCGCGACCACGCGCTTCAGTGAGTGTACTTTGCGATGAAGAGTGACAGCGATCAAGTGCAGGATCACACGCAGGGATAAATCGACTTGGGGAAAAAACATCCAAGGTGCAGCAACATGACCAAATGTGCCATTCTTAATCAAGTTTTCCGTTCTAAAGAATATATAACAAATATTTAATGTGCCAGGGGCAGATATCACAAACTATACAGGATTTGGAAGTCAATACAGAGCAGCACCTATGCGAAGCGAGGCTCATCACTAGAACTGACGGGAATTTTTGTGCAACATTCAACATACGATCGTCTGTACGTTTCATCGCGGTGTCAATGCCCAGTTACCCAAGCAAACCGCGTCATTACCTATATTGCATACATGATATAAATTCAATATCAGGGAACTTGTGAGCATCGAAAGAAATAAATTGACTAAATTCGCAATTTCAGATTCGATAACGATACATAGTAGACGTTTAGTCGTAAATGCGTGATGCATTAAAGCGTGATACAACGCATTGTAGCGTGATCAAATAATTGTAGCGTGATGCAACGCATTGTAGCGTGATGTAAGGTATTGTAGCGTGATCAAATAATTGTAGCGAGATGGGCCGCGACCGGAAGATCACAACTGGTCACTTCCCCCTGCATCGCTAGCACCGCCTACCTATATCCATCTCTTCATACCTAGCCACTCGTACTTACCATACCTATCAACTGATAACTATCCAACATTAATGCTTGTAACTATCGTACAAATCCACTAGCTATTACCACTCCTATCCACTTTTACTTACAATAAAAACTTATCATACGGGTACACACATCTGTACACACGGACCACACGTAATTTATACATATGTGTACAAATCTACTTACACAACTATCAACCACATAAATACCGTAAAGAATTGAACCTTTAAAATTAACGACCTGAGGGTGTACAATGTTTAAAACAAGCACACTGCTGACATCGCAGAGTCGTACACCCAGCAACGGAACAGTGGCGTGTGCGTGAACACTAAGCGCTGACTAATGCCCTGAGTCAGCAGTTTTCTACCGGCTACCCTGGGTAAGAACCAGTGTCTCGTTATCAATGGCCGTCCGAAAACCGTGTCTATGTCAACGATAAAGCGCTAATGATTAATAACTGAGAGATCAAGCTTAAGTTCAGCGACTTGAAGAATCAAAAAACGAAAAAAATGATCACATAAAGCATAAATAGAGCCGCGTTGGATGTTGTTTCTTAAAATAGGTTCACTGGGTAGTTATAAGTAACTGTAATAGTAACTAGTAACTGTAGTGGTTGCTAGTAACTGTAGTAGTTACTAATAACTGTAGTACCGGTATATAGTTACTAGTAACTGTAGTGGTAAATAGTAACTGTACTAGTTCCTAGTAACTGTAGTAGGTATAAGTAACTGCAGTATTTACTAGTGACCATTTCCTGGTGAATTCTTGACTAATCAGAATTAAGAAACGATCAAAAAATATGGAGCGAGAAGTTGCATAAATGCTCCATTAAATCATGACCATATAATGAATAGCTTTACCATAAATTTGTTTTACAGCATGCAATAGTCATGTGGACATCTATAGGCTCATAGATCGAAGTAAGAACTTTAAAGTACCAAATATTACTATTTGGTACAATGAGACGGAAAAAGTGGACATAATGAAGTCCTGAGAAGCGAACTAAGAACATTACTAAAGTAACAATTGTTACTTAGCTGGGCAATGAGATAGCGAAAATGGACATAGTGAAGTTTTTAGGTTCAAGCTAAGAACATTAAAGTCCAAAATGTTATTTATTGCAGCAATTATATGAAATAAACACTTACCCGCCACGCCGACGACGATGAACAAGATGCTGCACACGGCGGCGAAGATCGTCGCCTCCCTTGGGTAGTGGATGGGGGCCAAGGTAGAGTTTCCCGCCAGATCCATTGAGGCGGACGACAACTCGTCCGTTGGCAACACTGACTGGTAATCTCCAGACGCCATACTACTCAGGAAATTATATTTACTAATAACTAATGTATTGTTATAAATCGCCTACGCCAGCGACAAGTGTGATTAACAAGGGGAACAAATTTAACCAGCGAAAAGCAGTTAAAATGAGTTTAAATAAGTTTATTGATACCAACAAGAAGAATTGAACGATTAGCTTCCTTTTTCCCGTACTTCAACGTGCTTTTAAATAATTGCGATATTAAAATTATTGCGATGGTGTGCTGCAATGCACGGTCTCAAAGTTCATGGGTTAATTGATGTAATACACCGCCGCGAAACACTTAACAAAGAAACTACTGAAATATAATCATCTGCATTCGTTCTGTAAAAACAAAAGCAAGCCTGTGAATCATAAGTTACATGAAAACTTAAGATACAGCCTAGCGATTCAATAGCATGAACAACACCTCGAACTGATAAGATACGTAAATCCATGAAAAGCTCACATGTATATATGACGTTTGAATTAAAGTTTCTGTGCATCAAATTATAAAATAGTCATGAATGTTTCTTCCCATGCTAGAGAGTTCACAGAAAGCTAGGGGAAATTCATGATGCGCATTAGTATGTTGTGCTGTAGTATCAGGAGATAAAATGGTAACAGTAAAGAAAGTGGACATCATCGGTATAAAGAAATATATAATTCACGAAAAATTGTAACGATGAAAAGTTATTCTTTCATGCAAGAAATTAAATTGAAGAATTTAAACCTACTTAAAATTAAAGCTTATACATCTTCGGGTTTCATATGACGGAGAATAACCCATGAACGAATGTCCACTTTTTGAGTCTCTTCAGTAAACGTTGGAGTTTAGGTCGCGCAGTCTAATATTTCCAAGATAACGTCGGTCTCGTCGTGTCCAATTACCAAGTAAAAAATAACTCTCAGCGTCGACATTCTGCAGATCGATAAGAGCACCTACATCTAAAATTGAAAATTAGTTAATATGTAGTTACTTCGTTATTAGTTAATATGTAGTTTACTATATTAGAATGGATTCAGAACAGGTGTCAAAATGACAATAACGGTCATCTCTAGTTGTACGTGGGCTATAATTAAGAGAATCATTAGGCACTAAATGAATTTCGTCCCAGTATGTCTTTAGTAAATTAATAAGAAGCCGATCCATCTCTTTACTGGTGCGGTGATGCCTGAACCCTGAAGTCTAGACGGAAAAGTGCTAATAAGATAGGTAACACTAATTTCACGCTACTTTTACAGTACCTCCACCGATTACTTCGTACACCTAATGCAGGTCATCGAAGGATGCAATATGTTGAAATAATGCATGTATAACTTCGCAAAGTTGAGCCTTGACATTGCCAAGGCTTGCTATTGTCCACAGAAGAGAGTTACATCGTTCGTAATCTTAGTCATGAAGTTCACGGGAGTGAAAATGTGCGCTCAAGGCAGTATGCTCGTGTCTTATTCTTTACACTCAACCAAGACCAATGCTCTTCATTCAACACTAACAATCCATCAACATCACTACTAAGAAATAGTTTCAAGCTGTGCAAAACTTAATATAGAGAAATTTCCATCACCTTCCCTGAACCAACTTGACAAGTGTCACTTGAACATGTCTCGTGTTCAGTTAGAGACGTCCAGTTAACAGCACGAACGAAACTCCGACCTGACCTTCTCACACGACGCCTTATGGGAGACTGCCCAGTGGTTAACCGCAATCGGCAGCAGGCACCAGCAAGCAGTCATGAAACGAAAAGTAGCAGCACGCACTTGCTTCTGTGACCATTTCAGAAGCTACTGGTCAGTGAATCATCCGAGTATAAACTCTTATCGTAGAATTTTCTATGTAGAAGCTAGTATTTTTACTCATTGTAAAGATTTACTTCATAATGATTATTTCGTTTCTACCAGTTGTCCAGCTCCTTTTTCATCAGATATCTTTTGTGCATTTTTGACGTCGTTATTTCGCTTAAATTTAAAAGTATTGAAATAAATTGTTAAAAGAAACGTTTGTTCATTCGTCATAAGTTCTCATTATATAATAACAAGTCGATGGCTATAACTAATCACCTTTATGACGTCTGGGGGAATAAGACTAGATGACCAATAAGAATATATTATTATTATTTTATTCCCGAAGACCATCATCGAATAAGATGGAGTCAGTCGTTGTCGTTCAGTTGATCACTTTACTTCCGTTGTTTCACTTTGGACTAGCAATTTATTGGAATTACATATGAACAACACAAAAAAAACTTTATATATCATTCAATTTTCAATCGCATCACACAATTCCGAGGTACATATTATTCAACGCTGCGAAAAGTGACGCATGTGAGGAGCTTGCTCCGCTGTGTCTCTCGTGGACACCGGAAATATCATTTATGACTTAGACCTTGTCCGACCGACCGGCCTTCGCTGTGGCTTTCCTTCGTCGGTGTAGATTCTTCGGTTCACTTTCTCGGTTCTTACGACTTTACGCAGTGAGGAAGCGGGCGCAGTAAGTAATTTGATTCAAAACTACTCATTGAATAAAGTCGTACTTTAATTTAAAATCAACGTGTAGCATATACTGTTTTCAATAGTTTTACTTGAGAATGAATAGTGTTAATTTAAAACGTCGTTTATCATGTTGAAATGTCATGTGGAAACCTGGTTTTTGATCTGTCAACGCCAGCGAAATTATCGTTCCATTCACTGTAAAAAGTCAGAAGTACAAACAAGTTAATTTATTTAAAGCTGCGCGTTAAAAATTGTGTTTGTGAAGAACACCGGAAAGAAATTATAATTCAAATGTTATAAGGTCAGGAAATTTCGTAAATATTCTTTATGCAGTGATTACTTCACACAAAAATAATATATTTGGTTGTCTCAACACAATAACAAGAAATAAATAAAAGTGATACCATAAACTAACACTAAGATTAACTCATGCTTATTCATATACAAAAATAGCGATCACAATGGCAAAACACACATGGATTGTGCTGTACGACCACACACACGCTTGTACTGCCACATTCCGCGCGGTTATTCAGTGTAAACACGACACAGTGATGCCCGGCTTGGATATTCGGCACGGACAGCGATTGGGGGCCTTTGACGAGCTGTGGTATTAGCTTTTAAATCAATTCGTTGCGCATCACTGGAAGACTTGCAAACGATGACCATTTTTATACGTTAAAAATCTGAGCTCCAGAGTTAGCTGACTTAGATCAATAAGTTCTTATATCCTCAGTCTGCTTAGACCGAAGTTCAGTTTCCTTAGAAGTAAAAGAAACACCAATTAAATGTACAACATTTTTCTTCACTGTAGTCCCAATCATGATGTGGTGAATTTACGTAGTAAAATGTTACAGGATATTGATAGAGGTTGTACATGGCAAATCTTCGCCACGCAAAAGAGTCATTGAACGAATGGAATATAAACCCTCGTAAAGCGTTCAAGAGATTTCTTTATAATTAAATTACTACTAATAAACTAAAAAAAACTTTACGGAGCTTTAACCTCATTAAAACATCCGCACACAAAATAAATGGCTTATTGGCCAAATACTGACCCACACAACTCAAAAAATATATCGCCATTTGAACAACTCTCTATCATTTCTCTGGGTGCTTGGAAACGTACTTCTACAGAAAGACCTTATACAGAATTATTTAAATATCAGCTTATAATTAGGACCGTCCCAAATACTACTGAAAATGCACGTTTATTCATGAATTTGTAGATGGAAACTTTTAGAAATTTTGAATTTATTCGGGCTGGATCCTGTCAAATTCCACATTAAGCTAAAAGCATTTAAATCTAAATACATGAAACGTGATGGCGGTAAAGAAGAGAGTGTGATCATTGAGCTAATTAATGAAACGTTTGGATGGAATGGTTCCCGAACTACCCTATGTATGGGCAAATAGGGCATCTTCCTAATTGCACATCTAAAAAATTACAGGCGCAAAGAAATAATTTTATTCATAAATATGCTAATACGCCGTTGATATTTACGTTCGGTGGGCTTTTTTGCTCATCAAAATTTTCAAGTTGATGTGGACGCCGTTGTTTGATATTTAGATGCAGAGTAGACAAGATCGCCTGATTTTGTCGGTTGGCAAAATAAAGGCTACTCATTAGTGTACATTTAAGTAGTTTCATAGTTGAGTCATTATCACATTTACTCCTTACATCTGTATATATATCTTATATACTTTTAAAGTCGCTGCTGTTACTTACATTAGTCAGTTATTCTTTGTGGAGTGAACAACTGATTTTCCTTGAGTAACTCAGTTTAGCTAGCTGTTATAAAATGTTTACTTCAGTGAGCGTTTAACAAAATACCTAGAATGTTTAAATTTGCGATAGTTTATAGGTAAGTAAAAGATAGTGATGACAGGAAAAACAATCCTTGTTTCAAATGGTCAAAATTTCTTCCGTGCAGATAAGATTTGCACCTGTTGGCTGTTGCGTGATAAGGACATTCAAAGAAAACGCGTTGCCGTCTGAGGTGATCAGTAGAAAACACTTTCACAGGCTAACTATTGGAAAATGACATATCACGCACTGAGAACAACGAGACGTAAAAAAACGGGAACAAATGTACTTCAAAAACGCATAATTTTGCTTCAAATAAACTTTTCTATATTTTTTCTTGGTAACAGCTTTATTTGCAAAAATTTAGTCTTTAATATGAATGAGTCAGTGCCAACATAAAAAAAATAGTTTGATTCTAATAAACTCTTCAAAGTCTAAACTGTGGTTTGTGGTCGTAACCCGATCTAGAAAATCCCGGGGAGGCGCGCGGCAAGTTGTTCAGGAGGAAGATGCTGAAGCTGTAATAAATAATATACGTTTAAAAAATTACTTTTTAAAGACAACACTTCTAAAGAATCCAGTGTCTCCAATGTTAAAGATGTAGAATGAATTTCTCATTTTATTTTCGAATATTATAAAAGTTGATTTTTCAATTTTTTTATTTATAAATTTTTTCAAAATTATTTATTCTGTCAATTGATTCATGCATTGCCTCCGACTTCACATAAGTGTGCAAAATTTCAGATCAATTAAACAGGTAAAAGTGTGTCAAATATCAGTTACAAGATTTGGAGCTGACAAAATTATTTTTTCAATTTTTGTAATTTTGAAAAAATTTCAATTTTTAAAATAATTTATTTTGACATTTGATTCATGCATTGTCTCCAACTTTACACAAGTGTGCAAAATTTCAGATCGATAGGATAAGTAGAAGTGTATTAAATTTCGATTACAAGATTTGTAGCAGACAGACAGACAAACAAACAAACAAGAAGTGAAGTTAAAGAGAAGTGTTGTAAAAAGACATGATCTTTCTCAGGACCACAGCATCGGCCCTCCCATATCTCGATGTTCATGGAGCGCGAGACGACGTCATGAGACGCGAGATCCTTGGCAGTGGGTGCGTAGCGCTCCATGAAGCGCTCGCCTTCGCGGTTCACCAGGAAGCCGCCCTCGCCGCGGCAACCTTCCGTTTTCAGGCACCCAGTGCCGTAGATGCCTGTGGGGGGTAACTGAACGAACTCGAGGTCCTGGTTGGGGAGACCTGCAAGGGAGATCATGGCGGTGCAGTGACTGCAGTCACCCGTGCACGTGAGCATACGTGCAGGAGAAGTAGGAGCGCCCATACCCGCCCATACATAATACAGACAAACACCAGAGTCTAGAGACATAATCGCATAAGTGTTTGGCTGTATGGACTTTTTATATCATTTTGTAATAAGATTAGCGGCGGCAGTGAAATGCACTAAATACAGTAGAGGACTCATTCAAACTCAGTTCAGATAAGGTACGATTCACTAATAAATACTGAGTTCCAGAGAGGGAGAATAAGATGACAAATGCATCGGTGGGTTAACTTGAGAATTGAATAAATCTATATGAACAAAGCGAATAAGTTAATATGTCATTAATGAATGATTAGAACATGAAATACATGAATATTACGATGATTTTTTTAAATAAATGAAGCGAATACTTCAATCTAGAAGAATTAATAAATTTCATTTATTTAGACGGAATAATGAGGTGAATGTAAAACGAATGGAAAAGCAATTCAACGTTCCCTCGCGTGTACTTCAAAGTTTTAATGAGGACAATTTAGGAGCCAACAGATGCCTGTTGAAACTCACGCTCGTATCGTACAACGCGGCGACTGTTTCCATGTTTAACTTCAGGAAAATTACAACCGTTTCAAGGCCGGCCGAAGGCTGGCCGCCCGTCGCTGATGCCGAGAATCGCGTGTAATATTTATTATGAGATTCTGTAAGATATAAGAGCGATAATGAGCAGAAGTAACTCTACGTCTGTAGTACATAGTTGGGACAGATACGAGGATGGGATTTAAAATGTATTTTGTAATAAAATTTATTTTCATATAAGGGAATTTTTTTTCAACTGTGGAGATTATTATATTTTACCGGTATGTTACTGGATTATTTTTAATTAGATGGAGTTTCATTCATGATCAGTGCAGTTAGTAAGTAAGTGCCCTTCCAATATGAAAGCCATGTTCTTCTCCGTAGAAGACGGCGTTTGTAGATTCATTATAACTTTCGACGTATCAGCAATATCAAATCAACGAATATTTTTAACCGCAGACAATTCTGAGTTCAATTGTGTATGTAATTTTCAGGGGAACAGACGCTTATTCTACATATACCCTGCGACCAATAGTTGACAATTTTCTCAGTGATTGCATTGGCTAACTCATTACATGATTAAATAGAAATAGTTTTACCGTGAAAAAATAGTTATACATACACGGTTCGAAAAAACGATCTGGCAATCGATTTAGTGCATGGCCGCCTGCTATTTGCCGGTATCGTACGGGTTTCATTTTTAACATAAGTTAGTTTCACCGTGAGCGGCCGACCACTAAAACACCGGTCTGACAGTTTTTAGACTTTTTTTTCGAAGCGTGATACTGGTATGAAAAAATGTAAAAATATATATGTACTTCTATCAGAGTTTTTATAACTTCAATATTAGGGTTTAAACTTTTAATTGATAACCACCCGAGGTCATGCATGGATTGAACCACCATGGCTTATAGAACCACCAGAAAACGAAAAAAATTCATTGCACATTAAATTATAGTGAACAGAAACATTTTAATCTTGCTGAGTCATCGCGTGGTGAAACAAACAAGATTTCATTTCATTTATTGTAATAATTTTAGTGCATTTTATTCTGACCGTCCAACTAATTAATCATTCATGTAGGAAAATGAAAATTAAAAATAAACGAAATCATGCTATTAATTGATGATAAAATATATCATGGTGATATATTTTGTAAGTCAGTTAGGAATTTCCTAACGACAAATTAGTCATATGATTACCATCAGCGTTATTGATAACAGAAAATTAAATCAGGTGAAAAATTATCCTGACCAAAGTCCAATTAAGCAAATTGAACGAGCATCATTATAAAAGCCTCTAACAGTTAAGACGTGAAATGGATAAACATGCTTACCGGCTTCATTTATCTAGTCTAGCATACACGTTATCATACCGAGAAATAACAGAGTATTTCATTAAGCGAACACTAGCGATAAGAATGGGACGGTCTTGACCATAAGCTTTTCTTCTGCGCGATAAGAACTGACGGCATCAAGGCCCCGACGATACGACTCAAGTGGCGCATCGAGAGCCTATAAGTTTTATATGCAATAAACGCTGCAGGGAAAACACGAGATTGTAACATAATTAATTCCATTTTGAGTGACAGACTGCTGCAACAGATAAGCTTTACCTAACGATTTATGATTTCTTCATAATTATAATTTATTTTGAGTGACAGCCTGCTGCAACAGATAAGCTTTACCTAACGATTTATGATCTCTTTATAATTATAATTTATTTTGAGTGACAGCCTGCTGCAACAGCTAAGCTTTACCTAACGATTTATGATTTTTTTCATAATTATAATTTAGTTTGAGTGACAGACTGCTGCAACAGCTAAGCTTTAGCTAACGAGTTATGATTTTCTTCTGTTTATAATTCATTTTCAATAAGTACAAAGCTTAATTAGTCACATCCACTTACTGTGTATAGTAGATTGATTAATTGTGGCTCCAAAGGTACAATAATCAGTTCAATTTGCATTTTAATTGCAGGATGGCATGACGAACGAAATATTTGCTAGCAACATGCAAATCGTTTATCATACATTTTGTATTTCAGAGCAACGATATAACTGAGAAATTTTAAGTACTCGTACATAAGTCCGTATACGCAATTTAAATATATTCCTGCAGCTGCACCGAGCAAATTTTTCAAGCAATCGACATTCATGCATGCACGGTTGCAGATATGGAAACATCTTTCATATTTAGTTTTTAACCATCTATTTAGGGAGTTCTAGGACGCGCTTCTAAGCTTTTTTTTTGTACTTCGCAGCAATTCAGTTTTGTAGAGACATGCTACAAGACTGCAGAGATATACGAGTACACTCAGGGACTCAGCTAATGAGTTCATAGAGACATGTGCTGCAAGGCTGCAGAGATATACATGAGTACACTCAGCTAATGAGTTTATAAAGACGTGTGCTGCAAGGCTGCAGAGATATAAACGAGTACATCTCAGCTAATGAGTTTATAGAGACATGTGCTGCAAGGCTGCAGAGATATATACGAGTACACTAAGCTAATGAGTTTATAAAGACGTGTGCTGCAGGACTGCGGAGATATATACGAGTACACTCAGCTAATGAGTTTATAGAGAATTGTTTTATAGGTTTTTGCTTGCGCTATCAAAAGAATGCCTATCAAAAACGGTAGAATACACCCAAACAAAATTTAGAGTTGCCCCAGTTCTGCATGGTGATCCAAATCAGAAGCTCCTGCGTCTGTAAATTTTTACTGGGCAGTGAAAGATATTTCACGATACCATAAAATTGGTTATTGCTCATTGTATTGACATCGGTTATAAAGTAAACCTATGTTAACTGAGAGACATCGTTATTTTAAAAAATAAAGAGCTCGATAAATAGAAACGTACGTAGCAGCTTCATATTCATTATGGTATTCGTTACTTCTATTTGTACAGAAAACGAATTGCAAAGATTAGGTTATACTATAGAGCTGCTATCTAAAAACTTGCAATATTTCTGATACATAACTCTCTTGGATATAACTTTGGAAAAAATTGATATGCATCAGTCGACCTCTAGCTGAGTATACGATATACCATAACGCATCGCAAGGATCATTTATCTAGTCTCGCTAATGTTTCATTAAGTGTAATTCTTCATATAAGAGCCTCATCCTGTCTACATGAGAACCACGATCGCTATGTTATCTGTAAAGGCACTTCAAGTTGAATTGATAAGCTCATCATACAATGAATTTCCTCTGCATCGCGCGACCTCCGTCATCGCAACTCCCAGGCACGGCGCGTTGCAGGCTTGGTGTACCGGACACTGACTGCTCACTCGGCGTCGACATCGCACGCATCAGGGGTGACTTCAAGAATAAGTTGATAAGTGGAATCCATAGGACAAGAAACAAGGTACAGTTATCTCTCTAGCTTAAATGGATGGAAGTAGGCTGATGATAATAATCTCTAAGTAAAAATCGTGTTGCCTTTTTTCACAAAATTACGATTTCAAACGTTCGTCAATACCCCTTCAATTTGGAATGTTGAAATTTTGTACAGAACATAAATTCTCCGCCTTCTCTTTAAACCCGTTGCGACAACGATGAAACATATATTTAACATTATATTTAAGGATAATTTCTGTAGTTCGTTAAAGCACTCTCAGGTAGAGCGTGGAATCACATGTTGACTACAATAACAAAAATATAACAGAGAATAAACTGGAATATAAGGGTATAACTTAAAACAATTCGTTTTTCAATAGATGAAACGCAACATCAGCTTTTGGGTTGCGGTGATGATGATGACGGTGGTGACTTCAGCTTTAGCTACGCCTTTAGGTGAGTTAAAAATATTCTATATGGAAATACTATACATTATAAAGAGTATCATTTCAATAGTAATAATTATAACCTGATTTAATCTGGCCACTATACCTCCGGATAGAGGACAAAAAAAAAGCTATGCACGTTCGTGAGCTGTAAGAGACATTGTCGTCTCATAATTTTATTAGTGAAAAAATATACTATATAAATTTGAAAAACGTCTGATAAAATCAGCTCACATTTTTTACTTACGAAAAATTCGTTGGCTTGTGTGGCGTCATTTAAATTACTGCGGCAAATAATCGCTAACCTTGAATTGCGAGATGGCCTATAGATTTTTTAAGAACCTTAGTGAGGCAAGATGCTAATGAGTTTATTCAAGGCTATAATTTCAAGAATATGATTAAATTTATTTAAAATTCAGTGAAAAGATTCTTCATTTTGCTTGTTAAAATTTCAGATTTCACAGAAGCTTTCAACGAAACTTTGCAAGGTTTCCTGTCAAATCTTGATGGTAACCTATTCATCTCGGGCGACGGAAATTTCACAAATGGTATCCCCATCTACATCCCAGGATTTCTCAAGTATGTTTTAGAATAGACGGAACGAAAAACGTTTAGTTATAACGTATACATATATCATTCCTTCATTGCCGAAATTATTAGTTTTTTTATGCCTGGTTGAGGAGTTGGTGGGCATGATTATAAAAAATTCCGAATTAAGGTGGCAACAATGGTTACTTTCTGGGTCACAAACGACATCAAAGTAGTGAAAAATAGTCGATTAAATTTAATCAATTCATCTTAGCCTTTTTCTCTGAACGCCGACAAGAACAGCCATTAATTGAAGAATTAACAGTTGTGACAATCTGTGTTGTTTGGCAGGGATTTACAAGCTGATGGTAGAGGCTTCAGCGTTCAATTTAGACGACGTATATAAGTCAACATCTATAAATCAATTTAGACGACGTATATAAGTCAACCTCTATAAAGAAGCTCAGATATTTATAGCGGAATGTTAATTTAACTAACGGTTTGGAAGTCATAGCCATAAATGGTAAACCTTGAATATACGTATATATTATATAAATACGAAATCAATTCTGATACATAATTTAAATCAAATATCTATGATTAAAAATTGATGGGAAAGAAAAACAGCTAAAAAATAAATAAATAAATGCATTGGTTTTCATTAAGTAACTTCCGAGCAATATGGTTATTTGCTGCCTACAAACTGAGAAAATAATTTTTTTTGCATTAATGAGGAAGCTTATTTATTTTTTTTGCATTAATACGTATTTGTCAATACGGATGCCCGCTTTCTTGCATTAATACGAATTTGTTGATACTGATGCTTGTTTTGTTATACGAATTCTTATTTTACTTTCCGCAGCATAACCGTGCACATTAGGAACCTGAGCATATCGGGGTACAATGAGATGTACGCCAAGGATTGCACCGCTGATAATGAGACGATGGAGGTGAAAATGCATATTCTTGAGCCGAGACTTGAGATGTACGCTCAAGTCCTGAACATGAGTGGAGTTCTCATTGATAACATTTTAATTGACGGCTCTGGTGACGGATGGTGAGTTAAAAATCCTTATAGTTGCATACAAAAAATAAATTCTCCTCTTTGAGCACATAGATTTAAAGATTTCATTTGATTTCTGTTGTGTGTATATATATGATGATACACAAAATTATGTATATGATGGGGCAGGGTGGCCCAGTGGCTTCAGTTCAGAGTACCAAGATTGGAGCAGAGAGGCGCGGGTTCGATCCCAGCTCTGTGCGCCAGTTTCTGGTCAGAATCGGCAAGGGGGCCGGGCGGTTACGCACAGCAGAATTGTAGCAGTGAGTTGCGAGTTCGAGACCGCAACAAGCTGTGAATGTTCTGCTATCTTAAGAATCGGCGACAGGCCTACGGCCTAATAAACGCTAAAATATTGATTATACTATAGATATATACCTAAAATAGGCACGCTAATATTTAGAATCTATATTTTTCACATCATGTCCACTTTCGCCACAAATAAAAATATTGCAAAAACTAGTAGTTATAGAGGATAAACTAAAGAAGTTTTAGAAGGAGTTACGCACAAAAGTCATGGATTTTTCATATTATACGAATAATTCAATCCTCCGTGATTACAATAATTTTTCGAAGAAGAAACGAAGTATGGGGTCCAGATGGTTATAATGTTTTGATTAAGTTTAGGCTGCAATAAATTACCTTACTATTGACATAAAAATAACCATCGCTTAAACTTGTGCTCATTGCCGAACCCAGTGAACACTTCCATCCTCCAGCATGATCGAGGATTCAAATTCTAACAAAACATATTCTATTCTTACCTATTTTGCTCATATCATTGATTAATTTATACAGGTTTTTACTGGAGGACTTCCTTATGGGCATCAACGGCACCACCTCCGTCAACGACTGGAGTGATCCGGACAACCCTGTAGTGGTGTTTGATGACGTCACTGTCACCCTCGACTTGAAGCGCTGGACGGTCAGTGACGTGCATGTTTCAGTATAAAGTTCCGTTTAGATAACACAACAACATGTTAAGATGTTAAGATGAGGCACATAAAAGNCGGACAACCCTGTAGTGGTGTTTGATGACGTCACTGTCACCCTCGACTTGAAGCGCTGGACGGTCAGTGACGTGCATGTTTCAGTATAAAGTTCCGTTTAGATAACACAACAACATGTTAAGATGTTAAGATGAGGCACATAAAAGCGACGTGCATGTTTCAGTTTGAAGTTCCGTTTAGATAACGCAACAACATATTTAGATGAATAACACAAAAACGACGCGAATGTTAGCTCAAATTTTAACAAGATATCGCAATATCGTATAAAATTGAGGCATGTAATTAAAAGCTACATGCATGTTTCACTTCCAACTTCTACCGAGATATCACAATAAAACACTTATGAGCTGATTTACTACCGGTGCTCATGGAGCAAATCTATCAGAAGCATTATTTTAAATTTACGGCTGCGTTATATATGATAATAATAGGCCTGCAAAATTTCATAAATGTCCATTATTAGCAGACAGAACCATTAAGACCATTTAAAAGCAGACAGATCGAGAAATCGTGAACAGAAGACGATAAATCGTGTAAGCGTTCAAGTTCAAATTAAGTACACAATTTATTGATATGGAGAACAAGAACTTGAGAGACATTTTAAATATTGCTTCTATTATAATTAATACTTGAGAGAGAACAATCATTAACATCAAAAATATGATAAGAAATGATTTTATGTCTGAATTTCTCGAGATGCTCTGAAGGTGATTTTGTTGATGCTCAACACTAATGATACTTTATTCCTCGATGATTTTGACATCATCGAGTGTATCTTTGTCTGAATTACTATTATCGCCAATATAATCTACATTAGATCTGTCATGCCCATTATTATTATAATTGTTATGTTCTCACAAGTGGCATTCGCCTTCTTTTAATAAAACATTGATAGTTTTATTGGCACATACATCGTTAATATCACTAAGATCAAAAATGTATTCAAGATAATTAGTTGGAATAATGTAACTGCAATCCTGACAGTGGCCCAAAAAAAATTCTCTAAAATCTTGATGGAAATTACAATAGTCGCTTGTGTAATAGTTTGAAGGCAATCATGATAGGAATTAATTTTGTCACTCTTAATCAACAACAATGTCATCTTCTTACCCCTCGTTGACAGGTTGACATGCGAGGCCTGACCCCTGGCTCGGACCTGAACCAACTTATGAACAGCTTCCTCTCCATGCTCGGTCCTGACATATTCGACGTCCTCGCCACTAAACTTACCGACTCGGGCGTCGTGCTTACGATCCTCAACTGTTTCTTCCCTCCTTCTGGCACTAAGACGACCACCACGACGACCACTACCACGACCACTCCTACTACCACTACCCCTGATACCACTGCCCCCCCTACTACCACTGCCCCCCCTACTACCACTGCCCCCCAAGCTGTCGAAGAACTAAGTAACGAAGAGCCTCGTATGGAAGAGGCAATACCAACAAAACCACCTGGTGTCGCATTTTTGCAGTGCGTGAGGGATGGAATTGGAGGGATGAACTAACCACCTATGATAACTGCAGGCGATCACTAATCTTAACCATGAAGATCAAATTTAAATCAAAATTAATTCTCGGGGTATCTTCACCGCGAACATTTTTATGGCAAGAGAATAAGTAGCAGTAAAGGGAATCATAACAATAGCAAATTGATGAACCATACGAGAAATTATTCCGTGTAAGAAATTATTGCCTTGTACATAAATAGAAGTTAGCTCATGACAAATACCAAAGCAAAATATGTGACAGCAATGTACGTTTATGAGAATATCGCATGAATTCATACCAAATTAAAAAATTTCCAATAAATTTTCCAGTCAAAAAATAATTATATGAATAAATTGGCGATCAAACTATCAGTGTATTAATCAATTTCCGCGTTAGCAATATTTCTCATTAATTCCCTCAATAAACCGTTTGGCTGCATTCCCATTATGTAGTAGGAGAAGTCTTGACGAGAGAGAAAAACGTTCCATGTAAACGACAAACAAATCCTTGCCTTATGAATTTCAAGCGTGGCTAAACCGCAAACCGAATTAAAGATACATAGAAGAATTGATGCTATATTTCTTAATTCAAATAATTTTTGAGGCAAGTGCTGCGGTATCATTAACGTAACGGGTGGAGGGGCGGTTCGGGGGTTGTAATAACGTAACGGGTGGAGGGGCGGTTCGGGGGTTGTAATAACGTAACGGGTGGAGGGGCGGGTCGAGGGTTGTAATAACGTAACGGGTGGAGTTGCTCCTTTTCGTGCACTAAGACCGAAATGCTGAAATAAGGAGACACTCGTAATACTTCATTTAAATAATTTTCCAATTGGTCTCTGTATTTGAGTAGAAATTCTTGCGCTGGGAAAAATTTTTCTTCAAATAAAACTTCGGTGTTTCAGTGAATAAATTTTAATCGCAAAAATGCAAAATAGGACGAGGATTTTGGCCCAGCATTGGTGAAGGAACATGGCCTTTACAATGAGCGCTATAGTATTAACATCAACAGCCCTATTAAACAACCATAGATTTTCTAAAACTACAACTGAAATTAGCGAGACTATATACGAGGACTCGCTAAATTCCAGTAGACATACGTTTACATAGTTTACATTTTACTGAATTCCAGTAGACATACGTTTATATTTAACTGAAGTCAGGCAAATATCCGTCTATAATTCGCTGAAGTCCAGAAAATTTGCATCCAAGAACATTCGGACAGCGTGAAGCTAACTGAAATGAAGCTTCATGAATAAAGTCCCTAAAACTCATTGTATTTCGTGCATACAAACTTCATTTAGTGGAGAACTTTGGACGAGGAGTGACAAGGTAAGATGACAACATCGCATCATCACTCAACACTGAAGCGTGCGTCACACATCGCGTCATCACTCAACACTGAAGCGTGCGTCACACATCGCGTCATCAGTCAACACTGAAGCGTGCGTCACACATCGCGTCATCAGTCAACACTGAAGCGGGCGTCACACATCGCGTCATCAGTCAACACTGAAGGCAGCATTGGCACTGAGACGCCATATTTGAAATGCAAACAACTGAATATTACGAAAAAAATCGATAAAAAGTCACCATATCTTGGTGATATGGTGACTTTTTCTGGACTTTCATTTTCTTTTAAATTTTTAGTGAATTTTCGATTCGAGTGACCTAGTATCAATAATTTAAATAGATATATCAAAGGTATTGGGAAGATAAAACTCATTCCAAAAAACTTGGAAGACCTGACAAAATTCGTGGCATTAGTTGATTTACTATATTATTATTCATTGTGAATACCTAAATGCTCTGCATTGTAATTGTTGATAGCGACATCATGATCTTTTCATTCCCAATCTACTAAAAAAATAAATTACGAGCAGGAGAATAAAGTAAACTGAGCAGGCACTAAAATATTGATAGATTTCATCTCATAACATCGGAGCACAAACTAATATCAAGTATTTTGGTCCAAGGTACAACAAACAACCTCGCCTACACACACGAGAATGCGACATTAGGATGAGATAAGTCCTTAAGCCACCGCATCGTAACAGTTGAACCAGTCGTATTTTTGGCTCATAATATTGTTGATTAAGTAATTAACTTCGCTTTACAGCGTAGTTTTTAAGAAGCAGTTACATCCAAGTTTGAGTTATGAGTTACATGAGTTACATCCAAGTTTGACGAAACTTCAACTTTTCTCAAATCGCACTCAAATGATTCCCCACAAACTTGTTTGGTTTGGCATACCAGTAACGCTTACCCTCCCACTCCTCATTGTGGTATGAATTACCAAACCTGGTAACTAATACCGCGTAACTTTAAAATAAAATTTTTTCACTATTGCCTCTTGTGAGGGCAAGACAAACAATGGAGTTAGGGACATAGCCTTGTACAGCCATCATATAGTTCATGCCTTCCGCTCCTAAATGAGTTTAATTACGTCCCATGACTCGCAAAATCAGCGATCTCTCCTCCATAGCAGAAGGTCGATTACAATTAACAGTAACAAATAGTTTCGGTACTTGCTTTTATTCCCACTACGCCGTCATCTGGCTCCAATGTTTTTGAGACTAAAATACAACGCATTACTGAGAATATAAAAGCTACGACATAACTACAGAGGAATGAATTTTTGATAACTTGAGATAGCACAGGGATAACCGTAGCACTACGCATGCCCAGAACGCTAGTCATATCTAAGCACGTAAGTAATAATAAAGCATTGGGTTCCCAATTCGCTTCCATAAAATCCCCTCGAATATAAGCGTAAAATACAAAATTCTGGATACAGATAGGAATATCATCAAGAAAACAAGTAACGTTCATCAAGGCGCAGCAAGCGGAACATTTTCAGTATAACCAAACCATCTGTAATTATGTTAACGTACAATAATCCTGCCTTTTTCAGTGGCAATGAACTTTTATACAAAGTTATACATGATTCTCGTGTGTAATGCATAATTTGCACTCATAAACACAGCCGCCCGCGCTCACACTTTACACTAAAATGCATGAATTCGCCACAAACAAATGAAAGAAGAAATAAATACCAAGTGAACAAGCAGTTGTAGCTACTACCTATTTACTAGCAGCTGGCAGTTCATCATAGATCCATTTAGTCGCGCTTAACGTTTCAAGAAATTCAGATAATTTCATTGCATTAAGATTATGTATATAATTACAGGTTTGGCGTAGATGGACAAAACAAGCTCGACCTAAATAGGTATTCTCGCATTAAATATAATACAAGAAGTTTGGCTTAAGGTAACCTCACAACACTATCGTCAGCCTCTCATTTCTCAAAATTCCAAACCATTACACCAGTTTATAATATCCTTCACGAATTGCTAATGTTTATTTGTTCAAAAATATATAAGTAGAAGACCTCAAACGCCGAGTGAAGGGAAAAATACCCAAGGGAAATAATAGCGTAAAGCGACATGTAAAACAAGGAATCTGCTTAGGAAGGAGTGAAACAAGCGGTAACAAGTATTTGTTTGTTGCCATCCAAAGACAAGTCGAGTGCAAATAGCTTCTTGTACACACAAGATAAAACAACACGCACATTCCTGAAAGATTCACAAAAATTTGACTCCTTCATAAATAACATTGTACAATCACATGGAAAGACGAGTGAACTAAGCACGGTGGATTATAACACACGTATATTAAAAATATAAATTACTACTAATTAAGAAATAATATCCAAACATACACTAGAACAAACAGGAAAACATCAACAACATTTATCTCTGGACATCTTTTATTTCTACCATTGGAAATCTAAGATCTAGAATATCTAGGTTCGTAAACATGTATCCGTGGCAGGCAATATCCTCCTAAGATCAGGATATTAGGTCATCATGAAATTTGTATCCCACCGAAGGATATCTAGGTTCCTAATCATGTATCCTGGGCAGGCAATTTCCTTCGTCTAGCGTACTCCTAAAGGAATATCCAACACTAGGATATCTTGGTGACCCCTAAAGGAATATCCAACACTAGGATATCTCGGTGACCCCTAAAGGAATATCCAGCACTAGGATATCTTGGTGGTTTTTAGGTGTTGTACAGTCAACTGTGTTATTATTATTCGGTAATTTTTAAAGCATAAATAACTTTTTAAAACATGAATATCCAACACTAGGATATCTTGGTAGCCATCTTGGCGCGGTTATCCCTGTGTTGCTGCAGCTGCTGCTGTTTACGCTGCTCTCTAGCAAGACGCTGTTGTTGTCGCTGCTGCCGCTGTTGCTGCAGCACGCACGCGACGTGTTCAGGCGCCACGTCCTCGCTGTCGTCGTCCCAGTGCGTCTCGCCGCCCTCCTCGTCCCACTCGCCCAACTCGCCGCCCACCTGCCGTCCACAAACAGGGTTAATACAACACCCAGGGTTGGGGTAAAGAATCAGGGAAAGCAAGATGGAAATAGGTATGGAAACCAGAGAAAATGCGGGGAAACCAGGTACAAAGAGCGGGAAAGTAAAGGGGTAAGGGAAGGGAAATAGGTGGAAGAGGAAAGAAAAAGGAAGATGCGTATTCCAAGAAAATATATACGGAAAAGTGCAAGGAAATACTTGAATTTTAACGAAGTATACTTAGACATAATTTCACGTTATACTACAAATCATTATACAGAAACATAAAGGCTTCTTCGATGACGGTCACTGGAGCACTGTAAATATTGCCGCTACATTCATGGCATGATTCTAAGTGATATATAAAGTGGAGGACCTGCATGAGGGCGTCAGTGCAGGACAGGCTGGTGCGGGCGGCGCATCGCTGCTCGTCGTCGTCTGGTCGCGCGTATATCACAACTTGTGGTTTACGCGCAATTTTAGGAGCCAGTTCCTGAAAACGTCAATAGTTTAGAATAATAATTAGTTTGTTGATTATTGACCGTCACAAAGCCGTTCATAATCTATTGGGAGCGAAAATAAAAAGAGACTACAGTACACGTCTATCGGAAGGAAAAAATTCATATGCTCAAAATCATGCAGCGAAGTTTGAAGGTCTTTAAAAGCCAGGGATTGCCTGCATTAATATTATGACGAGTTTGTTAGGGCTCATTCTTTCCCAATAATAATATACGTTCAAGCCACATCCACTTTGCTTGTATCTCGGAATTAACATAGCACATGAATTGTAATGGAATTATCTCGATTTTTGTGCGTTATCCTTTTTTGCACGGGTAAATCCTGCTAGAAATAAATCAGTAATACTGCCCATAGTGCCCACTGCCAGCCTACAAAACATATACACGTAGTTAATTTTAGCAACATGAAACTTATGATCTAAATATATTTTATCTATATTATACCTCAAGTAAATTTGGCTGTTCAGGAACAGGTTCAGACTGCCGCATCTGCTGCTGCTGGCGGTACAAGAAGATCTGCTCCTGGACGGCCGACATCTGCCGTGGCGCGGCGCTGCTGCGGCCCTCACACACCACCGAGGACGGACCGCCGTCCCAGTCCCCCCAGCAGGCGCTGTCCTGCCCCCCACACACATCAACATCTTGGTTCTGCCACAAGCCACTCTTAGCCATCATAAACTCTCAGTTCTGCCGTAACCGCTACGGATTACCTGATAGTTATTTCATTTCCAAAGACCTGCGATCAAGCGGCAGAATACAATTGCATTTTTAAAATATTTTCTGGACACATGCTGGCATATATAATGAACTAACTAGTGTCATGGATAGCTATCATAAGTAACAAGGATATGATAGTTATCTTAATATAGGATACCTAGTTATCTTAATATAGGATAGTTATCTTAAAGGAAGGAATTAATTAAAATAACAAGGAGAGGTATCTTAATTAATTATTTCTTCATGAGCATGATGATACATGGGCATATTGCCCACCAATTCTTAACATGAACATCTCCAGCCCGCGACTCACATAACTAGTGTCGGTCGCAGGCTGCAGCAGGACGGGCAGGCTGGGGCAGGAGTCTCGCCGTCTCCTGACGCAGCAGAAGCAGCGCTTCACGGCGCCCACCACCGACCACAGCGCCGCAAGCAGCTTACGTATCACCACCACAACACTCATCACCACAGGGCTGCTGGTACTCATCTCATCACATCTGCTACACTCATGTCAGTTGTTAGGGCATGACTTGTGTGATGAAGCTCTCAGATGCTTCAGTTTATCTCTTTATAGAAATGTTAAGCAGTGTTCAGTAGAGCGTATTTGATTTCTTTAATTCTGCCGGTTACATCATCATAATTTAGACATACTTCTCATCACATCCACTTCACTCATGTCAGAAGATACTGCATGAATTGTGTGATGCAGCTCTCAGATGCTTCAGTTTATGTCTTTATAGATATGTTAAGCAGTGCTCTAAAAGCATGCTTGATTTTTTAATTCTGCTAGTTATATTATCAGAATTTAGACATACTTCTCATCACATCCACTTCACTAATGTCAGTAGTTTGGGCATGACTCTGGTGACACAGCTCAGTGATGCAGCTCATCTACACAAGTCAAGCTGTGCTATAAGTGCTTGATTTTTAAATTTATTCAGTTAAATTTTTGGTGTTTAGAAATTTTTCATTAGCCTGTTCTTGCACCATATGAGTTTACTAATTATTGTTTGCATCCATAATTAATAATTCATAATTATTAAATTCAAATTTGATTATAAATTAGGACTCATAGGGTCTTGCACAAATAAGATTCTTTGTTGTTATTTAATATTTCTGACCAAAAATACCTGCAATACTTGAATGTTTATTCCTTTCAAATCATTGCCATAACTGCAAGGTTCATATCACCAGTTTCATCCAACAAGGTAACTTACAATTAATAAGTTTTACTTTCTGTCATGACAGATTCCATAGAAATCTTGCCCAGTCCGCCTCGTCATTCTGTAAAGTTCAGTATCCATGCAAATTATGCTTCCGCAATGTCACTGATTGAGATGTAATTCTAGCCATTCCATCCTGCAATTTGCTTCACCTGCAGTAATGAAGTATACAATTTACTCTATGCATTATCCATGTAAATGTTGGTAGCTGCTCACGGTATTAACTCAAGCAGACTCATGGGTTGTCTGAGACAATAGAGATGTGCAGCAACAGTATTTATATTAAATTTGTGAGACTTAGCTTTTCATAGTAACCTTGCAGTTTTCTAACCAAACANAAAACTAGTAAAGCATAAGAAGGTAGATGGAATGCAAATGTTCATTGATAAAAATCAGTTATTGTGATCATTTTCATTTGGAACATTTATAATAGACTTGAAATCAAGGTATACTACCTATATTAGTCAGACGAAAAATCTAATTTGAATAACTGTAATGATGGAGCCTATAAAATATACTACCAGGTAAAGGTAATATTCAGAGAAAGTAAATGTTTATCTTGGCAGATCTCACTTTATCACTTCAGGAGTTGACTGAAGACCAAAGTTGAGCAATTCAAACACAATTAAACCTCCAGGAATTTACTAAAAAACATGAGAGGTAGTATACAAAAAATTCCTTAACACATAAATGACCATTACAAATAGTTGGGTTAGTATCTCAGAAAACAAATTGAGATCACAACAACAGAACTTCAACTTCCATTTTAACAAAAATCTTTGGTTATCTTCCTCTATATTATAAACATATAAGGAGTTATTGATATTTTAACTAAAAAATAAACATTCCTGTTTTCTAATTGATTTAAGAAGGTAAAAATCAAAAGTTGGTCATCGAGTGGTGCAGACAACATTTTTCTCAATGAAATCTCGTAGAACATCTGACACAGAGAGCTTTGTGCGAGCAATTTTATGTGTGCCGAAGTCTTTCCTTCGAGCACGCTTGAAGCAACTCTTATGCTGTTTTTTAACCAACTCGTACATGAGCAGTGAGTTATCAAATAAAGAAGGATCTTTCCTAGCTAGAGCTTTATACTTCAAGAGAGTTGGCTTACAAGGGAGTCTAAATAATGACTGCAGCACATCCCACACCTTCAAGCCACACTTGGTTAGCAAGATAGGGATTTTAGAAGCTTGTACATCCCAGTGTGGCTTCCTGTAGAGCAGCAGCTGTCGATACAGAAACTGGAAAGCTTCGTTGGTGAGGTGTTGATGACACACGTGAAGAGCATTTCTACTGTGACTTATTTTAGTAAGGCGAGAAAGCTCAATTTGCAGCTGCAAATATGATTTGTCGATGGCAGCAGTGTACTGAAATGACTCTGACCTTAGAAATGTGAGCTCCCCCTCCAGCTCTTTAATATCTTGATGAAGGTGTTTGAGCAGACCAGCATACATTGGCAAGTCTGAAAAGATGAGAATTTTTAATTATAATATATTATGGTATTTAAATATTCAAACTAAGTAAAGTTTGACTAATTATCATACATTGATATTTCATTTCACTTACATGCAATTTGCTAATTCTCTTCTTGTTAGCAGTAATTTTCAACTCACAAGTTATTATGAGAGCTTTTAAGCTGAAAAATTATGCACATAAAAATTCTATTAGGTACAAACCTTTATTTTAGTTACACAAAAACAAATACAGGGGAGAACTTCTTAACTTCTACCAAGTAAAATATTACATTATCAATCATGGAAATATCAAGAATAGAGACAATACAGATTCTATAGGTATTTCACAAATCGCATTTAATGGCAGTTTGGAAGTTCAACAATTGTACTACTTAAAACAGTACTAGAGAGTAGGTAGGGACACTGGGACAGTCTAAAAAAGTCTCTAGCCTACTTTGACGCTACACTACACTGACAGTGACTGACTGACTGACTACAGTAACTAGGTATGCACTATGATATGACTATGCAGTAGGTACAGCAGTATCATGCCATGATGCCAGTATGCTATAATTTTTATAATTAATAATTATATTATCATAATTATAATGATTATGATTTTTTTTACCTTCCTAGGCAAAATAGACTATGCATTCCTACCTTTTTTATAGAGCCCTTGTAATTTTCTGCATTTGTGTTGCTTTTTCTTGAAAGAAGCAGCTGACATTATGGTTTAATTTATTCAAATTTTATACACTACAATAAAACCAGTTAAAATTTCAAATAGCTAGTTGACATACTTGAAATAGTAGGTACATGTTCTCATATGGATTATGGAACTTGAAACAATGCTTTGACTTTGAGAGTTTGAGTCTGTGTTTGTTGAAATCTGTCACTTTATATAAATTTACGCAAATACTTCATTAGTATACTATATAACCAACTCTATTGATAAACTCAAATACTCAATCTAAAACTTTTAACAGAGACGTCACAACTCACGACACAACTCTGTTAAACTTGATTTATCTTGATTTATCTTTAAGCACCAGTCTTCTTGGACATAGGTGCTTTGTTCAGAGCAGGGTGTAATTTTTACTACAGCTGGTCAATGAAGCCAGCTTTGGACAGGTATGTTACAAGTTTTTCTGCAGGGAACTCATCTCTAAGCAATGTTGCAAGGGTTTAAATTTCAGGGCCAGCTAAGTAATAACTGCAGAATTTGCAGTCTCAAACATCGCTACGCGATCTCAAGTTTTGATTTTCTTACTCAATTTATTTTAAATCTTTTGCTTCCGATAATTGTATTGCTTGTAACTCAGCAGCTGCTTAAAATACGTATTTCTACTGGGTGCCTTTTTTTCTAGCAACCAATGCAACCAATTTTCAATAAAATAGGTTCCCCTAGGTTGCCCTGGATATAACTGTTATAAAACTATTATATAATTAATGGGAAACTTATTTCTAACAGTTATATCCAGGGGAACCTATTTTATTGAGAATATTTGGTTGCATTGGTTGCTAGAAAAAAAGGCTCCCAGTAGAAATACGTGCAATAAAGTAGGTTCCCCTAGGTTGCCCTGGATATAACTGTTATAAAACTATTATATAATCACTGGGAGACTTATTTCTAACAGTTATATCCAAGGCAAGTGCTCATTACACTTCAGCAACTATTACATCTGCTTGTCTTACAGGTACGTGCAGCCACGGCTGTCTACAACTGCTGCTGCGTCCAGTGGTGTCCAGTGGCATCCACCTTGGCGTCTTTGGTGCATGAAATCGGCGTCCTCGACCTATGTTGTGCCATGCTCTACAGTCTGGTGATATGACCATGCAGTATTGCAGTAGGTACAGCAGTATCATGCCATGATGCCAGTATGCTATAATTTTTATAATATTATGATTATGATTTTTTTTTACCTTCCTAGGCAAAATAGACAATGCATTCCTACCTTTTTTATAGAGCCCTTGTAATTTTCTGCATTTGTGTTGCTTTTTCTTGAAAGAAGCAGCTGACATTATGGTTTAATTTATTCAAATTTTATACACTACAATAAAACCAGTTAAAATTTCAAATAGTTGACATACTTGAAATAGTAGGGTACATGTTCTCATATGGATATTGGATTATGGAACTTGAAACAATGCTTTGACTTTGAGAGTTTGAGTCTGTGTTTGTTGAAATCTGTCACTTTATATAAATTTACGCAAATACTTCATTAGTATACTATATAACCAACTCTATTGATAAACTCAAATACTCAATCTAAAACTTTTAACAGAGACGTCACAACTCACGACACAACTCTGTTAAACTGAACTCAGTGAACTGCACTCATTAGCGACTTAGCGTCTTTACTTAAAATTATTTTTCAATTTTCATACAAGTTGACTCGAGTCAATTTATAGGCTAGCCTATGCGCTAAGGACTCAGGGTTATAAGTCTTTTTTCCGATTCATTGAATCCTTCATGCCGCGGTTTCTTGGATATATTTTTTATAATCGGGTTCAACCGAAAAAAGACTTGTCTTGGAACTACTAAATTTGTCCGAGACGTCTCCAGAAGAACATCTGTGAATGATGAAGCCATTCAACAACATCATTGGCCGTAAATTTTTCGAAGACGTACTAAGAATTGAAGTGCTGCTGCTGCACGAAAGTCGCAGATGGATAAAAACTGAAATAATAGTGCAGAATGAATTCTTCCAGGATAGTTTCAGCTTGCTTCAATATATTTATTCTATGGTTTCTAAAAAAATTAGACACCTTTGATCTCATATTTTTAGTTCAATTTCGACCCCGTTTAGAAGTACACAGAACTAATGTACTGATTTAAGAATTCCTCATTTTTGAGTGGATAGGGAATGAATTTATGAAAAGTTGCTGAATTACCGATGACATTCGAATCATGGTTCAACTATGATTCCAACATTTTTTCCGTTACAGAGTATACTTGCTATCATTGCTGTGTGAGCTCCGGACTAGGGTCTGATCAAAAGGCGGCCTTTTTGAAAATTTTGCGCAGTTGTAAAAATCTACGTAGATCATTTGTTTCACTCGCCTAAGCCCTACCGTAGGTCAGCTTGATAACCATTGGGAATTGGGATCGAGGAAAAAAAACATTGGTATTATTTTATTGTAATGTCTTCCCCTAAAAGCTATCAAATACAAAAATGGAATTGGCGCGGTCGCGGTAGAGGTACCAGAGGTCGAGGATTTCATCAGAGGCCTGGCGGCCCTGGCCCTGGGAAAAGAAGCAACAAGAATAACCCTAATAACACAAATCCATCCCCTTCTAATGAATCATCTGCTTCAAACTGTAAATAAGCTAAGAATTTAGAAAATATTGTAATTAAAATAATCAATATTTAATCATTTATCTACGCCTTTTCTACGGTTGGTCAATTGTCAATATTATGAAATCAAACTTTTTTACCAAATTATTACAATTCAATCATGTAGCTAGTTACAGATTTGTATATTTTTATAAATTTAAAAACTATCTACAATATATATAAAATACTAGGCTATGAAAAAATACACTAGGCTACGATAAACCTATATTAAATAGGTTTAGTTAAAAAAGGATGTCCACGGCACTATTAGTCTATTATTAAGAATTTCCTTGTAGCCTAGTGCATCAAGATGATCAAGTTATTGTATTTATTTTATATCTTATTAGATTTTACTATTCGTTTGAATTTTTTAAAATTACTGGTAACTTTGAAATATTAAATTGCCTTTTCCTAGGATGCAATTGTATTGGAAAAACTTTGCTAATCTTATCAACAGTTACAGAAACAGCATAATTAGTAGTGGCAAGTGGGAGGCCTGATTAAGTAGGCAGGATGGGAATTTTCCTGGTTATCCTAACTAAACTTTCACAGCTCCTAACTAAGACTCAGGCTAAGAGTAAGACCTAAAGTCATCTAAGTGAGAAATTTTCAATACTTTTGGAATATTTTGGCCAGATTGTTAATTGTACACTTTTGTTCACAATAGGTAGGAGTTCATTATCTAGGGCCAGACTAGTGGGAATCTTATGGCACCAAAATTGGCAGGAAGCTCTAGTTGCAGCTCATAGCCAGATAGCCTCATAAGATATATATATATATATATATATATATGGTACCAGTATTCTAGTAATCCAGTTTCCACATGGACCACACCTGCCACTGCCAGCAGGCAACAGCATCATCTACATAGACTACATACTATGATTACTATCACAATGTGATTGTTACTGTTACAAGTGGGGTGTTTCACTAGTTTGAACTGTAAGTAAAATAAAATTGTTTATGGCCAAAAATATACTCTAATTTGATTTATTTTCATTTATTTCATTTCTTCTCAGATGGATTTGCTGGTAGTCTGGAGCAGAGTAATGAACCATATAACTCAGCTGCTTTGATCAAAGCATCTGGACCCATACCTGTTAGTTGCAGACAACCTCTCATCACCACCCTACTGCCTCCAGCCAAATGTCCTTTCAAAGGATGGCATATTTACATGACCCAAGGTGACAATTTTACACAATGTTACACTATTCAATGTATGATATATAGGTTTAATATCAGCACTCAGTGGTGTTATTTATTTTTCATCAATATCATTATCTATCTTTTTTTAGATTGGAATTATCTGACTAGATTTTTTCCATTTCAATGCAACCAAGATGTTGGCTGTTGAACTTATCTTCAAAAGTTCCATGTCTGTGACTCTGTGTCCTTACTGTTTTTCCACTTACAAAAGTCATCATATAAAATCATCAAAATTTGTAGCTTTACTTCATCCATAATTTTTGTTAAGTACTTATATCTATTTTTCCAAATTATTGGAGTAAGTGCAGTGTTAGTATATTTTCTTGTCCTTCCAGCATACAGTGAGACAAATGAAAATGTGCAAAAAATTCAGAATCTGCAGAAATTCCTCCTACACAGCACTACTGACAAGGAAAGAGATGCTGTGTGGAACACTTGTAGTTTCAAGGTGAAGTAGGTATAACAGTTTCAAATGATAAACTTTTCAATTCTAGAAGTACACTTGTTTGCTAGCATTATTCTTGCTTTTGTTTTATTGTAATATAGTGTACTTTTTATCTTTTTTGTTTTCCTGATATTTTTTTAAACAATGTAGTATAGATAAATTGCATGAAAAACTGCAATTTCTGAACGTTGTAACCTTGAAATTTATAAAACACCATCAACTCAGAATTTGATACAATTATTCTTGCTAAATAATATGAATCTTTCAGGTCTCCCTCAAAGAGCTGGTGGCTGATCCTGAACTGCAAGTCTCTGAGCCATCTCTGCTTTCTGAAATCATCAATACTCCACAGACTGTGCTTAATGCTCTGGGTCTGGCCATGCACCAGGTAAAAAATTAATTTCTCTGTGCCTGGGACTTCTGGTATAGCAATAAACCTTCATTTAATGACTTTATTATGAATGTCATTTAAAACTGATCAGTTTAATTGCTCAATACATTCAGTTCCCATCTATTATATGTGATGTGTTCAACTTTTGTAAAAAGTATCAAATGTAAAAAGTATCAAACATCACAAGCAATTTGGCCAAAAAAATGATTAATATACTTAGGCCTGATTTGGGATTCATAGTTTCTGTTTTTTTTTTCAAAATTTGAACTTGAAAGTAGATTTAAATACCTTCTCCATTGTTGACATAAGTTAATAAGTAATCAATAAATGTACTTATAAATATCGACTTTTGATTCATTTCAGATACTATACAATACAGCCGAAGCTCTTGTGCGGAAGCACACAACAGAACAGCTGAACCTCACACTGGCCCAACAACAATCGTCCCTGAGTAACCATTCTCTGGATGCTAGCAACTCAATGATGTCAACACCGGGCATGACGAGCCAGAACCCAGCCAGCGGGTCGTCTTTCCTGAACATGAGTGTGAGTGAGGAGAGCGTGCAGGCTGCTATGCCTGACATCAAGGTGCCTCTAGTGTGCGCCAGACTGCACGATGATCGAGAAGGACACATTACGCCACTCAAGGAGCTCAAAGCTAATTTGTATGGTGAGTAAATTCTTGGTTTCTATTATTATCATTCATGAGTACGGTATGATTTATTCATGAAAAATCTCAGTGAAAGAATGATCTATTGCAAGTACTGGAACTAATTTTGTGTGTAGTAGTGTAGTCTATCATGATTTTTGCATTGTTTTATAGTATTGATTCACATGACAGGTAAGCTGGTGAGCATCACAGGAACTGTTGTACGTGTGTCTGGCGTCAGCCAGCGCTGTGTTACGCTAGCCTTCAGCTGCCAGACGTGCCTTGCTGTCTTTGGACTTTCACAACCCGATGCCAGGTGTGGCATTCAAATATATAAATTTGCTAATATTGATTATCTCACACGATTCTATATATCACACTACACTATGTTGAAACTTGATTTATTATAAACATGATTACATTTTTAACTGAGGAGAAATGGTTCAGTACTTAATCAATTATTCTTAATCTGCTTCATAATTTCCTCTAACATTGTAAATGGTAAACTAGGTACACGGTGCCCAATCAGTGCGCCAGCGAAGGCTGCAGGTCCAGGCAGTTCACGCCTCTGCGCTCACACGCCCTCACACACACCATCGACCACCAGACCATACGCGTTCAGGAGAACAACTCCGACACGGGAGTGAGCAAGCACTTTGTAAACTCCAGCTGGAGTGAGCAAACCCTTTGTAAATTCAGGTTGGAGTAATCAGTCGTGTTATCTCCAGCTGGAGTAAGCTATATCTCCACCTGGAGTAAGCATGCCCTCTGTAATCTCCAGCTGGAGCGAACAAGTATTTTGTAACCTATAGCTGAGGTGAGCAAGCCCTGTGTAAACTCCCGCTAAACGACACCAGCTGACCGACGGCCGACTGTCATTCTACCAGAGGCTGCCAATATGGCGGCCAGGTATTTCAACAGTGCCATATTTATTTTTTTTAGATGTTTCATGATTCTGCTTCTACAAAAATTCGAAATTCGTGCCCTGATATTGTTCCAGAATATTATGTATTGTGATAAATTACATGATGTAGACAAGAGCCTTAGGCTCCCAAGTAACTTTCATATCTATAATAGATAGTATAAGGCATTCAATTGTTCTTCCTGGTTCTGTTAAGATAGTCTAAGTGATTGACCATCAGTTCAAATAATCACTCTCATTACAGAACAAGAGGTACAGCGCTCATTCTCGTTCATAAATATACCCAAATGTAAATGAGGCAAATTCAGCTGCTATTTATTTGTAACCAAATAATTTTTTCTGTATCCAATTTAAATTATTTTATTTAAGTATAATATATACGATGTTCAGGACGAAGCGCTGTCACCGGAGCACGGCCGCGTGCCGCGCTGCGTAGAGTGCCACCTGAGCCGCGACCTGGTGGACGCCTGCATACCTGGGGACCTTGTCACCATCACCGGCACTGTCACCGTCTGTACTTTTTTATAGCAGTAACAATTTTTCTAAATGGCTTGTCTGTTAATTTCTTATTAACACGTCTTATTACAACCTCGAATCTTCTCTAACTCATGAGTAATATTTAGCCAAGCATTGAAACACACTTTTGCACACGTATGAGCGATATCTAACACCCCTTTTTGTGAATACCCTGTTCAGTTCCTCACTCCTGGGCACATTTTTATCGTTTTTCCGATCGCTCAGCTCGTAAATGCATCTAACCTTTACGCACTGCCACTTACATAGCCATCTAAGCCCTCATCGTCTGCATAAACCCTCATTATCTACCATTTACCCTCATATTTACTTCAACCCTACGCTCGTACGTATGTACGGCCATCGTAGCTCCACACACTGCCTCTCACGTGGCCATCTAAGCCCTCATTGCCTGCCTCTTACCCTCACATTTACATGGTCAGATATCTTACCCTCACATTTACCTGCTCAGGTGGAGCAGAGCGGCGAGTCCTCGGGTCGTCATGGCGACGCGTGTCTGTTCCTGGTCTGCGTGGAGGTCTGCAGCATCGACACCTGCAAGACAGACCCCTCGTCTGCTGCTGCCGGCAACTTCACCATCACCGACTACTACAACATCAGGGTCTCGTTACTCTTATAAACATGATCTGAATATAATTAGCCTACTATACTGCTATGTCCCAGTCGTAATAATGGTTATTATTACAGACTGTGTATCCTGAGACGGGGACTAGTTAACGTGGATTTAAATTTATTATGGTGTAACAATTACTGATTCAGCCCTCGTATCTTAAGTAAGGGGAACTTGGAGCTTATGCCCGTGTCCAAAAATGATCATAAAAATGGCATCAATTTGTCATCTTGCTCTGTAATAAAAACTCGTTACATCTAACATATCGGTTTGTGAATGCATAGCCGCTGAGCATCAAAACAAATTCGTGATGAAAGTGCTTAATTCAATTTGTGACATATATAATAAATATAATAAATTTATTTGATCTCAAACGAGTAAATGTGACCTTCCAGTGTATCTCGGACTCTCATTCTAAACCCTGTACGGTTGAGTGGTTCGTTTATTGTAGTTATTTAGAGACTACGCATTTCTAGTATAACTTCATATACGCGCTCACAATCCTTCCTTGCACCTTAGGCCGGGCATGATCTTCCAATATTTTCTTGCTCTGCTCGTCAACTCGCTAACTGAATATTTAGGTTTGTTTGTTAGAAATATTTCTCTACTTATAAAGCAACGTATTCGCCAAGTCATGTCTTCATTTTGATTATCCAGGCTGTGCACGCTCGTCCATCTCTGTTCCGTCTGCTGGTGCAGTCTCTGTGTCCCACGATCTACGGCCAGGAGCTCGTGAAGGCTGGCCTCACGCTGTGCCTCTTCGGCGGCTGCAGCGGCTCTGACGACGCGGTTGGCATTCGCGGCGAAGCTCACATCCTCGTGGTGGGGGACCCTGGCCTGGGCAAAAGTCAGATGCTGCAAGCCTGTGCTAATATCGCTCCGCGGGGAGTGTTTGTGTGCGGCAACACGGCCACAAGCGCCGGGCTCACCGTGTCCCTGACGCGCGAGTCAGGGTCTGGTGACTATAGTTTAGAAGGCGGCGCACTGGTGCTGGCAGACCGGGGAGTTTGCTGCATTGATGAACTTGATAAAATGCAGCACGCGCAACATCAGGTAATTTTTCCTTACTAACTCTCACTTGTATTCCTGCTTCTTAATAGCCGTCTGAATGCAGCATGGACATCATTGACTGCATTTTTGTTAATAGTTCTTTTTCATTAGATGATGGCTAACAACCAATAAGCACTAGTTACATATCTCATAACCTTTACTAATTCAACATTGAGTTCATACAAAATGTACATTTTTATGTTTTATTTATGCGGGTAAATATTCCAGTAGATATTCACGTCTCTCTTATTTGGTTCTAAATTATCGTACATTTGTACATACTTGTTTCTTAGGCCCGAAAACATTGGCTATATATTGTCGTGCCTGAATACATCGGCTATATTCTGTCGTGCCTGAATACAATATAAATTCATCATCTATTAACCAACATCTACATGAGATAATATCATTAAACCACCTGCAAGAGTCTCCACCATGACCCACATTACTGTTGATGGATGATGGTCGTGGAACTACCAGTGGCACCAAGTGCCCGGAAAAACTGACCTATCAGTTCCCCCTCCCTTACCTAGTCGCCACTACCAGGATGGGCAATTACAACAACAACTGTTGCTGAGGTGATATCATCGATATCATTAAACCACCTACAAGAGTCTCCCCTCTGACCCACATTACTGTTGCAGGCGCTGCTGGAGGGCATGGAGCAGCAGCGTATCAGCGTTGTTAAGGGCGGGCTGGTGTGGTGCCCTCTGACCCACATTACTGTTGCAGGCGCTGCTGGAGGGCATGGAGCAGCAGCGCATCAGCGTCGTTAAGGGCGGGCTGGTGTGGTCCCCTCTGACCCACATTACTGTTGCAGGCGCTGCTGGAGGGCATGGAGCAGCAGCGTATCAGCGTCGCTAAGGGCGGCCTGGTGTGCACGCTGCCCGCCAGAGCCGCCGTCCTGGCCGCTGCTAACCCCGTCCACGGCCACTACAACAAAGCCAAGACCGTCGCTGAGAACCTCAAGATCAGCGCCCCTCTCCTCTCCAGGTTCGATCTGCTCTTCATCCTCGTGGATCGTCCTGATGAGGTTTGTCTTAATCCACTTTAGGATATTAATTTTTGATAGTATATTTAATTTTATCACAGATAGTATACGTCGCCGTCCATTTATGAAACATTTAGAGATTTATGATATAATGGGTGCTATTGAATTTTCTTTACGTATTCAAAGAGCAGGTAATGTTCATTTTAAAACAGGAGTTGGTTCTTCCCAGATGATCGAAGCCTTCTTTTTTGCAGTGCTATGCACTTTTCTCCATTAGAAACGTTATAAATTTCACTTATTTGTTTGCATAGCTTTTATTTGTTCGTTGTAAAACAGGAATTGGACTCGCTGCTCTCCCGTCACGTGATGGCGCTGCACAGCGAGAGCAAGAAGAAGCCAAGCCTCAACTGCAGCGTCAGCAGTGCAGGTAGCAGCAACTACAGCACCAGCAGTGCGGATAGGCGGTTAACCACAGCTGAGGGCGTCATGCCAATTGCTTTATTAGTCAATTACTCCTATTCAATCAAGTCCTGTCGACGGCGAAATGGATTTAAGGTGGATAAATGTTGGGAATGAAATGTCATATCCACGTTAATTTATTTGTTGCGTTTGCATGTGATAGAATATTATTTTTATTGTTTATATTATCTAACATTTAAGACGTTTAAATTATGTAACATTTTTATTATTTATGTTATCTAACATTTAAGACGTTTAAATTATGCAACATTTTTATTGTTTATATTATCTAACATTTATAACGTTGATATTATCTAACGTACAATCTTGACAGGACTGGACAGCGTGAGCGGCCTGAACTCGAGCGTCCTGGAAGGCCGGGAACACGCGTCCCTCAGGTGGGAACTGACGGAGTTTTGTCCTCTTGTCACGCTCGGTAATAAATCCTTGATAACTTTTTTATGAACTGTGAATAAACCTGTAATAAATTGCTTGACTCATTCGTGGCATTCGCCAATATCGAATGGCATCCAGGTTCTTGTAAGTATGGGGCTCTGGGCAGAAGAAATTGTCTTTCGTCTTATGGCATGTTCGTTTTATTTTGTGGCTTAAGGGAGTTTCGTCTTCTTGTCCCTCTTACAATTAGTAAACATTCTGGGCCGTTTCAGAAGCCTAAACTTTCTTTTCCGCTTCCAGGGTTTTGTGAAGTCTGAGCTGAAAATTATTCATTTAGCTGAAAGCATGATCGTTTGGTAACTAACTGCCTATGACCTGCATACGTCTTGTTCAGTACCTCTGGGTTCGTTGATTTTCGTGATCAATTTAAGTTGGTAATGTCATTAAATTGTGCCTTCTTCGTTGTTTTTAACATGATCTTCAAAAACTTGGCGTCTTTCGTCATTGCATTTACTCTAGCAATGCACGAGTATCAGACAGGCGTAACTTACTGGCCCGTTCGTTGCACTATTATTGTGATATTACTTTGTACAATGGGATGTACGTTGCGATCACATGACGTGTTCTGCCCGCCTTCGAATGGTACGAGTTTCTTTTAAGTTATCCATTGTGGCTTATAGTAAACCTCGGCACATTAGTCGCAAGCTGCTCACCTCAAGATGTTAACTACAGGCGCGGGGCATGTATGGATGACGTCAGTAATTGTAGTATGTGACATAGCAACATGCAATGTAACAACTTGTTTGACAAAGTCATTAATTATAGTATGTGACATTGTGACATGCAACGTAACAACTTGTTTGACAATAGTACTTGCTTGTCTCCATATTTTGACTCTATCTGAGTCAAAACAATGACAATGGTGTATGCTGGAAGAAAAGCTATATTTATTTTGAAATCAGGTTCGTTGCATCTTCCAAAAATCGCAGCAAATAAACTAAACTAAAAGTTATTGAGCTAAAGATATGGAATCCAGGAGTAATTTTTGAATTATTTGGGAATATATAATACAATAAGAGTAATAAAAATATAATAAAAAGTGAATGGTTAAAGTAAAGAAAGTATTATCCTAGTACAGAAGCTTGACTTAAGTAAACATTTCAGTGAGCGCCTCAAGTACGCGCCTGGTGAGTTCGAGGAGCCGCTGCCTGCTTCCACCTTCAGGAAATTTATTTGTTACGCCAGGAGGTGAGGTTTTTTAAGGCATGAATATATTGTAGTAGGACTATTTATCGTGCTAACAGCCACGTTTTGGGCCTGAGGGTGTTTGTTGCAAGAGTGTCAAGCAAACAAGGAATTGGTGATGGTCTCCACCTCCCCTACAACCATCCCAAACCACCTTTTTATTAGACTTTTCCTTGTGTTTATTTAACAATTTACTGAACAACACAAGAAGAAGAACCAGGTATGTACATTGAACAGAGAAGAAAAAGAATAAGCGCAAAACCGAGGCACGGGGGGGTCTATAACCTCTCAAATAATGGTATTTTCAAGTTTGCCTGCTTTACCCAGTCTGAAAAGCAAAAAAAGATTAACATGTTAAACCTAAGGAGTGCACTAAATCCATAAAAAATATCCGTTACATTAACTTTAGCATGATTAAGTTAGAGATGCATATCAAACAGTGAGCACTCTACTATGGTGTCAACACTGAAATTGATACATACTTTTGCTTTAATTTCGTACTTTAATTTCACATTACATTGCATCTCAGGAGAGGGGGGTTTGTAGGACCCCTAGTAGGAAAATCCTACTTCCTTGCAATATCACTGAAATGGGCTTCCCACAACAATATTTTAACTATTATCTAACCATTTATCTGTTGACATTAATGCATGGTTATTAGGAGAGAATCAAGTTGAACTTGAGAGTTAACGTGATGTCATGAGAGAAGCAGTTAGGCAATTATTGGAGTTGCAAGGCACTCAACTTTGAACTGGATCTAAGGGTGAGCTAGATCATGATCTCGATCTTCTAAGATATTTTATCTGTGTTTAGCATTAAATTTCAGGGCCAGCTAAGTAATAACTGCAGAATTTGCAGTCTCAAACATCGCTACGCGATCTCAAGTTTTGATTTTTCTTACTCAATTTACTTTAAATCTGTTGCTTCTGCTAATTGTATTATTTGTAACTCAGCAGCTGCTTATTACACTTCAGCAACTATTACATCTGCTTGTCTTACAGGTACGTGCAGCCACGGCTGTCTACAACTGCTGCAGCGATACTGCAAACTTTTTACTTGGAGCTTCGGTCGCAGCATCACAGCAGCGCGGCGTCCGCTCCCCCGATCACCACACGACACCTGGAGGCCCTCGTGCGCTTAACGCAGGTCTTATTATTACAGTTATTATTATAACATTTTGTTCGTTTCATTATTTATTGGTCTTAGATTCTTCGTGTTCATTGACTTTTTTACTTATCGTTCTGGTGATTATTTACCTTTCATTGCTTGCGTTTAGTAATTTCTTGCTTACTTTGTTGAACACTTGAATATTTTACTATACTTAGTTCAAAATTAGTTGTAAAAGAGGTTTAAATTTTTAGTTCTTTTTCCAACTAATCCGAGTGCTTGTGACTGCTTGTTTAACTCTTCATCCACGAATACATTAACCAATGTCAATACTATTCGTATTTACATGGCTAAAAAACAGATTGACCGTCAGTAGATAATGGCTTGCACTGATCCAAGCTTTTTTTCAAATGTTTTTGAGGGTAATAACGTCAAATTGAAAGATTTAAATACGGTATTTCAACCAAGCGTGTGTCGCCGAGCGAGAACGAAGTGTGAGCTGAGAGAAGATGCAAGAACGACGTACAAATTCCAACGGTTTTCCAAATGCTTGCAGGAGTACTAATATCAAATTAAAAAATGTAACCGATTTTCATGTTACGTTGTTAGGAGTAAAAACGTTAATTAAAAATAAACCGAAATTTCGAACATCCCACTTATTTGTTGGCAGGCGAGGGCGAAGTGTGAGCTGCGAGAGGAAGCAACAGAAGACGACGCTAGGGACGTGGTAGCGCTGATGCGGTACAGCATGATCGACACGCTCGCCGACGACCTCGGAAACCTGCACTTCGAGCGATCCTCACACGGCTCAGGCTCCTCCAACCGATCACAGGTTGCCTTAAAATTAGCATAATATTATCCCTATTATGTGTTATTGGACGTAGCAGTCCCAGGCCACGCTGGGGCCCCTCCTTAGTATCATTAGTAGTATGTTTCGCAGTGGCTGCTTATGGCCACACGAGGGTGCCGCCTCAAGACTTAATCTTTGTTATCCACTTGCACTCCTCGGCATCCACCTCCTTGGAGGAGTGCTCCTCCAATCAAACACAGGTTCCCTTGAATTAATATAACCGTAAAGTTTCCATTTGATTTTTCTAGTCGTGAACGGAATGGACTTGGCTTACTAACCATTTTTATCATTTTCATACAACTGGAAGTAGTTTATTCTGGTTTAAGTGAATCATTCACAATTGTTTGATGTGTGTGGCAGGCGCGGCGGCTGTTGACGTGCCTGCAGCGACACTCGGACATGACGGGCACGAGTCTGTACTCTGTCCAGGACCTACGTGCCGTCGCCGCGCAGGCGCAGATCGACGCCAGCGCAGTTGCAGGACTCATCGAAGGACTCAACCAGCAGGGCTTCCTTATTAACAAGGGCAACAGAATGTACCAGCTGGTGACTTCCAAATAAATTCATAGTGGATTTCCCTATGATATTCGTGATGAATATTGTGATGCTATAGTGTATAGCGTCGACGTAGGAATATTTTATGCTTAGAGTTAAAATGATTCATCATTCACGCTTACGTCCAATTTGTGTTCTTATGAATGTGAGTGGATATGTTTTCCTACATTACGGATTTTGCTTCCCTTTTTTTGTTGGAAACTTTGTTATTTGGTAGCGCGATTTTATTGAAGGAGTTTCACTACTAATAAGCCTTTTGAAGCGATCACGTCAGACGACTGTATATTTGGCTTAAGTTAGTTTGACTTCGTCACGATGAATATTTTGGTTCAAATTCCACACTTATTTTGGCTACAAAAGGAATTTTGATTGTGATATTGTGACGACATCTTCGAGTCTCGTCAAGTGCACTCACGGCACAGTGATGTTGCTTCGTTTACTTTCTTGTAGCTGTTGTTTATTTGGATGTTTTTGTTGTGAGAAGACCAGGCAAGGTTCTCTTCTTGCTTTCATTTAATATCACGTTTAAGTTTGATGTTACAAAATATATTCTAGTAGTTTTCTACATACAAGATGTATATATTTTTATAAAGTAATGATGTTCTTCTTCCTATTTTCTAACCTGCCATTCGTCAACTTGAGAAGACCAGGCAAGGTTCTCTTCTTGCTTTCATTTAATATCACGTTTAAGTTTGATGTTACAAAATATATTCTAGTAGTTTTCTACATACAATGTATATATATTTTTACAAAGTAATGATGTTCTTCTTCCTATTTTCTAACCTGCCATTCGTCAACAGGATTGTTGTCCCTGAAGTGTATGCCACTGATGAAAATTTACCACACCGCCCTTGTATTCGATTTGACTCTCATTGGAAACTTTTATATAATGCAATAAATACGGCGAGAAACTCCATTCAGCTGCGGTTATCACATGAGTTGATGTGAATTTGACTTGAATCTAACGTGAGTTGGTCGTCTGGTAAATTGCAGTGCATGAGGAAACAAAATCCTGGTTAAACCTTTGGAATTGAAATTGATGATCTATTTTGAGCGAGGATGCCTGGCATAGGAGGAGATAGAAGTATAGCAGTCAATGATTAGGAACGTAGTATTGAATCTTTCTGAAAACCGAAGCGTCAACGGGGAATGAAACGAACATTAGTTGAAGGCGTAGGCATTATTTCTGGAGTAGGAATAGCAAGGCTATAGTGAGGTTATAGGAAAGCAAAGTAGCGAAGAAAAAGTTAAATTAATAAGTTTCGATAGATTAGAAATATATGAAAAAAGTGAATAAAATGAATGTAATTTCGCTCCTTATAATAAAGGTGCATTATCGACTCGCGTTCAGTTCACGAACCAAATAGAAATATACGAAAAAAGTGAATAAAATGAAAGTAATTTTTCTAAAAAGATCATTGCTATGAAGCATATTTATAGAAATGTCTCTTTAGCGTAATCAAATCGTTAATGTTAAATCCGTGTCACAAATTCTAAAAATCACTTACGAAAACCTAATTGTAAGTTCCGTAGACTGCCGCTCATCGAGAATCATAGACTTGTAGAGGCAACGTCGCCCGAACGGGCGAACGCAGAGGTCGTGGCACGTTCGACGCAGCAAAATGGCTTTTTCGGTGATTTTAGCATTATTATGAAGAATGAATTTTGGTTACCCCGAAGAAATGTGGTGATGATGCGTAAAATCTAAATATAGCAGTTAAAAAATATGATGAAATTTACTGGTGAAAATTTGAATTGTAAAGAAAGAAACTCATTGATCTTTCGATCGTGTGAAAATTGTGCGAAAATTCGTTAAAACATTCGAAGAATGGACCGCCCAGTCGTAAAATACATACTTCTTATAGCCAAAAAGGATCGTTTTGCTGCATATAGTCGATACCATAGAGAATGTACTGGAAAGAATTTTGATCTTAATATAATTAAGTTTCTCGAACGTCTTCAATTTCATTGATAACATTTGCATCAGAAGATTTTTTCGAATCGACAAGTTCGCCCACAACGCCTCTCAGAGTCACTAGGATGACTGAAGAACGAGACGACCCGAACGAGTTCACCTCACCTCAGTGTTGGCTGAGCAGGTGGCAAGTGAGGTTGTATCTCAAAATGAGCAGCCGGTTTTTGACTGGCGCGCTGGTGACGGCAACATGCCTAATATTTTCAGGTATCCTTGGCTTCAACTTGGAGCCTAGGATACCAATCGTGAAGATTGGAAACCCAAATTCTCACTTCGGATACTCAGTCGCTCAACATCAATCTGTCCTCGAGACGATATCTTCTAAACGCAGAGTTACTTCTTGGTAAGTTGAAAAAATGATTTTGTTTCTCATAGGGCTAAACACTGCTAATTAATCTTAGGTTAGGACCAAATATGAAATGGTGAATAGTTCAATATAACACGATTGACGCTTACACTGAACATAGAGTTTGTACAGATTATTTGCGAAATTTGACCTTAGAAATGAACTCCAAGAATTTTATCAATATTTTACAACACACTGTATTTAATCACGCGTCAAGTTAGGAGTTGCGATCACTCGCTTTATTTTGCATTGATTTCGATCATCGGCGACGAGCGCCGGCGTTTCTCACTGCAGGCAAGACACGTGATTATCATTATCGTTAATGCGTAGCATAATTACCGAAAAGACTCGTACAGTTTTCCATGTAGATTAAAATTATATCCAATTTTATGTGTTTAATCGGGCAATTTGTGTGGGAAAATAACTTTTTGATTTTCGTTGCCCCTCCAAGCCGGATTTTTGCACCGACACAATCGCACGACACGATTTTCTGTGATGTTGTGTTTCATTCATCGTATTCATTTCTTCATGCTGCCTAATTGCTCACTAGAATCAGTATGTCCCGCGGGGTGTTCTTTGCTACAAACATTAAACTCCAATAAGGTTTAAAAGTTGTATGTTAGTGTTACGCTATCTAGACCTGTAGTTATGAGGTGTCGACTCGGTGATATGGATCGTCTCATGATTTGTTATCACTTCTAGCGCAAGCAACGTTGGTTTCTCTTCAATGAATATAAATGTTTAATCCAAAACAGTTTCTTCACATTTGTTCCTATCTCCACACATGATTTATTCGACCTGCTGTAGACCCTCGATGCACTGGACCTTACTGGAAAAGATAAAAGATTTAGGTACAGACTTTTCAGATTGACAGCTTTCAAAGACTATCAGTATGCGATTTTTATTGATAAAAAAAAAATACTAATAATGATATTCAAATTCATTGTTAACAAATGTTTAAATTTTTAGTTGATGAAATCACATTTGAATTGTGGAGTTGCTGCTTTGTGAATAATCAATGTAACCGTAATAATCACTATAATAGACGTGTCACTGCAACATCTCTTGAATTTATTTCCATCATGAATTCATTACTATCTTGAAGTCATTTGTGTGTACGCGCTTAAATTTAAAACCAACTCGTGTAGCCTCGTTTGCAAGTAAATCACTTGGACGTTTCAGTCACTGGCTTCAAAACAAATCGAGCCTCACTCGCTCTTGTTACAGACATGGTTTTAGAGAAAATTAATAATGGAAAAGGAAAATTTAAAAAATCGCAATATATTTCGTAGTATTTCGACTTGAATGCAATAACCGCCATCGAACGTCAATTATTTAATTGAATCAAAAACTTCCTCGAGCTTTTATCGAGATGTGGACCAGCCGTAGTGATATGAAACCAAACCGAAAGCCACATACAACAATACCGGCTGTTGCGATCAAGTTCTCTCTCATTATGACTTCTAAAACCTCAATCAATCTTCCAAAGGGACAATAATTAGAACTGGTACGCCCATGCCCAAAGTTGCTACCGAAATAGAAGATGCCTCCAGTTTCCTCACCTCGACTTCTTTCTTTGTCGAAATTGCTTCGATTAGCAGCCATTGTCAATGAATCCCTTCCTGTCTGCTTCCAACCTTTTTCGCCTTACCTTTTTTCTGTTCGTCATTTCTCTCCTTTTCCATTGGTTTAATAGAAAGCTGTATGAAGGACCAGTTTACGACAGACTCGATCTTTTCCATCAATGCTCTGCAAATGACTACAAAGAAGCTTTGAATGGGACGCGAACGATCGGGTGGATTAAGTCTACTGTACAGGACCACACACGCGATGCTCGAGTAGCGGCCGTTCCCGAATTGCTCTCTCACAAGGCATCATTCCCACATGATAGGAAGAGAATTACTAGGAATTAACATCAAATGATCTCTTAAGGATGAAGGATTGCCAAGGTGGTTAAATCACGTGGGAGTGTCGGTCATTTGTCTCGCGTCTGAATGACGGTGGCTGGGAGTGAAATGAGCCTTGATCTATGGCGGTCTTCCGCGACCTGCAGGGATCTTGCGTGACGAGAAGCGGTCGTCGCTTTGTCGTGTTGTCCGTCGCTGCTAACCAACAATGTGTTGCTGCCACCTGCCACTACGTCGCTGCCACCCGTCACTGCGTTGTTGCCACCCGTCACTATACGTCGCTGCCACTCGTCACTACGTCGCTGCCACCCGTCACTACGTCGCTGCCACCCGTCACTACGTCGCTGCCACCCGTCACTACGTCGCTGCCACTTGTCAATGCGTCGCTGCCACTCGTCACTGCGTCACTGCCACCCGTTAATGCTTCGCTGCCACTCGTCACTGCGTCGCTGCCACCCGTCGGTGCGTCGCTGCAACCCGTCGGTGCGTCGCTGCAACCCGTCACTATATCGCTGCCACCCGTCACTACGTCGCTGCCACCCGTCACTGCGTCGCTGCCACTCGTCACTACGTCGCTGCCACCCGTCACTACGTCGCTGCCACCCGTCGGTGCGTCGCTGCCACTCGTCACTATATCGCTGCAACCCGTCACTATATCTCTGCCACCCGTTTCAATGCGTCGCTGCCACCCGTCGGTGCGTCGCTGCCACCCGTCAATGCGTCGCTGCCATGTAGTTCATTCAATAATAAATGATGAGCTTGTAAAATCATAGCGCAGTTCAGCGACGTTAGGATTTAGAAAGTTTAACTTAGATTGAAAATTTGACCCTGGCTTCGTAAATATATTTGAGATAAAAATGTTCGATTTTTATCACTAGGTTCGACTGAATCCGAAATATTTTTTTGTGCGAATTTTGAATATAAAACTCTATTGAGATCCGAAGTAATGTGTATGAACAACGGATTCATATGTGAACGAAAAATGATCAGAAATGTTTTGACCAAATAAAATTGCTACGAATCTTATCCAAGTTGCTGAATAATTATACTTGGAAACCTGAATTTAACCATATTTGATTTGAGTTTGCTTGTATATGTAGATTCCTGAAATATATCCAAATTTCTAATGAATTACTTTCCTTGTATATTGGTAATGTTTCGTCAACAAAATTTTAATAATTTTAATGTTATTCACTTTTACCGTCGATTAATTTTGTAATGTGAACATTTATATGAACATAAATGTGTAGAACATTTTATTGTTGTACACCCACTCCGTTATGCTCTACTTTTTTCTTTCAAAGCAGCTCTTGAAGTAGAAAGCATTTCTCGTAATGGCGCGCGCTCTGCACGTTGAACTTAACAACAATGTCGGCGCGAGGTCCAATTACGGCACAATAATTAATTGCCACTCGGCAGCGCGCGAATTACTTCAATGCATCTAATTGGGTCGGGGGCTTTGAAGGTGCGAAAATGTCGTGCAGTTGTTGGACATTTTGAATCGTTTTCTCGCCAGCATTTCTTGTAGAAGAACCTTACCCAATACCAGGCAGGACTTTCCCACTTGTTCATTTTTGATTTGCTGTTGCATTGCACAAAAATATCCGTCGTTGTGGAGGGAAATTCTTCGCGAACATGGCGCTCTGACATGAACGAGTTACAAGTAATAAGGCTTGAATTTTTTTTTTTGTTTCCATGCTGGTTGTGACAGTGCAATGAGGTTGCATGAACTCAGCCCCTGGAGCCTTTTTGAAGACGGTGCTAGATTTGTGTTGTATGTGCGCACAAATGTTTTAATGTTCAATTTCAGAACATTGATAGAAAATTACTTTTCTCAATCATTATATTAGCAAGGGAAATTATTTTTAGTCCACGCGTCCAAATAAGGAGAGCCGGCCAGACATAATACTTATTAACAATTCTACTTAAAAAGTACGTATTATAAGTATTGAATATAAACATAAAATAATTGCAACTCAACTTTTTTAACACTTGTATCACGCAAGCACGTTTATCATATGCAGCTTCTAATTTGCCCTGCGACTTTCTTCAGGACCCAGAATTCCATTCACTAACAAGCAGATAACTTCACAACTTTCCGCTTTATTATCAATTTGAAGTTCTGCTTCATTATTTCCATGTGCGGAGAGCGCACAACGGCTGGCTGACCGCGTGGCATTTTCTTGACTGGAAATTTTCGGCTGAACCCAATTAGCGGTACATGTTAGTGCCGTTAAAAAATTGCATAAATTGCATGCGATTTATCGCTGGCCATTACGCCAGCGCCAGTCGGCCACCGTTGTTCGGATTTTAATTTCTATGAGGATATGGCCGCTCCCTGGCGCTATAAATTACTTGTATTGTGCTTTAGATTTTACGTCACCCTGCGCGTTTAACAACAGACCTGGTCCACACAACAGCAGCCTGGTCTTTGACATGCAAGTGTCTCACGTACCGCAGTATCTTATACATGCAAGTGTCTCACGCACCGAAGTATCTTATGCATTCAAGTGTCTTACGCACCGAAGTATCTTATGCATGCAAGTGTCTCACGCACCGAAGTATCTTATGCATTCAAGTGTCTTACGCACCGAAGTATCTTATGCATGCAAGTGTCTAACGCACCGAAGTATCTTATGCATGCAAGTGTCTCATGCACCGAAGTATCTTCGATATGCAAGTGTCTCACGCATCGAAGTATCTTTTGCAAGGAAGGATCCCATTCCTTAAAATGTCGTTCGCATTGAATTGCCAGGTGTATGTTTCCTTCTATTATGACCGTATTTCAACGCACCATAACGCACATAATAATTTTCAGTATAATAGATTAGATTCAGTATAATAGATAATTTTCGTCATAATAGATTTTCAGTATAATCGAATATTCATTATAAAATATACATTCGTAATAAAAAATTTCAATGCACCATATAAGGTGATGAAGTATTTTCACCAGTGAATCGTTTCAGTGCCGGCACTCAAGCTAAAGATTTTGGTGTGTAGGCAGAGAATGTGACACATTTAATGTTATATCATATGATGTAATTATTTAATTATATATAACACATTACACATTGACTGCTGAATGTA